CATCTTTTCTGAAACAACTGGTAACTCTTTTCTAAAATCGGTTTGCATCTTTTCTCTTTGTTTAAACTGATAATTCTTTTTTTCTAAAATCAACTTGCATCTTTTCTGAAACTACTGGTAACTCTTTGCATCTTTTTCCTGAAATTAATAGATCCTACGCCTAGGTTTTTATTTCAACTCATAAACAAAGGTTGGCTAATTAATGAATTGGGTCAGTCCCTGACAACTGTATCCGAGTTGCCTAATGCAGACTCTCTGTTTAAATACATGTGTTGAACCAGTGCGCTCGCTGCTTAATTTAATCTAAGACCAAATCAGTATTTGTCAAGGCATGCTAAACTAAATGATTGTTTGACTTCTGGGGTTAATTTGAGCCTTGTATGCTTGCTTGTCCTCCCCTTTTACTCGATACTTGTTTTGAATGTCGAGCTAGAATTTTATCCTTTAAACCCCACAAAGGCCCACATCCCTTTCTTCCCCTTTAGGATTAGAAGTCCTAATACCCCGGGACTAATAGGATTGGGACGGGTAGTAGCATGCGATAAGTAAACGATACCGTTCCGCGCTTTAATACCTTAACGGGGTGGGAAGGGCAGACATGGAGATGATGATTACACGATAACACTCCGCGTACAACTGAGTACCAGTGTTGTGCGAATGATCCATGTTATGTATAAACCTAGGACCCCTTTTCTCCTTCTTTATTAGTTTAACAAAATTTTCTGAATCTTTAAAGCTATTGCATTTTCAATTTCTGCTTCTCTCATGATCTTTCGGATCATTTGCACTAAGTACTTGACCTTTTCCTCTACTTGCACATTTTTACAAAAATTGCTCCTTTAAAATTCAGCACTTCTTTTAACCTTTTGTGCTTCTTGTACTTGTTTATTTGCATCTAAAGTCACAATTGTAGCATGGCCGAAAACCACACTAGTGGATCTTGAGGGGTGCCTAACACCTTCCCCTCGAGATAATTTCAAGCCCTTACCCAAAACTCTGGTCTGCATCTTTAATTCTTCTAAAAGTGTCCTAATACACTATAATCATTAGGTGGCGACTCTCCAAACTCTCAAAAAACCCAATTTCCAAAGTGGGAAAAGAGTTGTCTTCCCAAATGTCGTGAACCCGATTCCGCGAGGAAAAAAAAGGGGGCGTCGACAGTGACAGGATAATATTGCTCTGAGTGCATTTATTGCCAGAAGAAGGCCAGTAGCCACTCCTGAGCCCTCTCCCAAGCGACCTACTACAAGGTTGCAGAAGAAGGAGGCTCTTGAGTCTGCTTTGAAGAAGAGCAAAAGGAGTAATAAGAAGAAGAAAAGGAGACTGGTGAAGGATGGAGAGATTGTTTGTGACAAGAATATTCCAGTAGTAGAAGTAGATGAGAAAGCTCAAGAGGAACCAAGTTCCTTAGTCAAGAGATCTCAGGAAAAAAACAATCTGTTGAAAGTGTTTCAAACAAAGTTGTTGGAACGCCCAGTAAAAAGTCTGTGGAAAGTGGTGACAAGTTGAAGCAAGTGTTGGTTGAAGAGTCAATGTCTGATGATGATATTCTAGTGAAATCAAGTGGAAAGGGTAAGTCTTGTGTGTAGTCTGGTAAGAGAAAATTAGAGAATGCAATGGAACCCGGTTCTGTAAAGAAATTGAAACGTGAAAATGTGTCTGGTAAAGAAAGGTTAAGGTACCAGAAAGTTCTGTGGGGTCGAACATTTGACCTAGAAATATTGGAGATGGCTAGTATGAGGCAAATACTTGAAATGGTCGAATTTCAACAGTGGGGACATCTGTTCAAAGTGGATGTGCCCAAGGTCTATGAGGATGAGGTCCAAAGTTTCTATGCTGACCTCTTCACTGTTGAATCCGACCATATCTGTGCCCTGGTAAATGGAGTTGACGTTGTTATGAATTCTGCTCTGCTGGGAGACATCGTTAAGGTTCCTGCTAACGGTATGTCTTCTGTTAGGGATGTCTGTGGCTCAAACTTTAGGCATGCTATAGTGAGGAGGGAGCGGTGCAGTGGGGGGAACGGGTGCACAAGAAGGCTTTGCTTCCTGTTTATCAACTCCTGTTTGAGTTGGTGAACAAGGTCCTGCTACCTCACGCTAAGAGGAGGTCTATCACATCCAAGTCTGATATGTATCTGATGGAAGCACTGGATGGGTTCCGATCTGTTATTCTTCCAGCCATAATGATTGAGCACATGTAAAAGGTGGCAGCATTCAAAGTTGGAAATCATGGTCTTCCCTATGGAAATCTTGATGCCGCTTCTAAGCCCTCTTCCTCTAGTGTCCCCTAGGCTAATCCTTCAGTGACCAGTTTCCAGTTTATCTTTTATGTTCTGATGACTTTATGGTAGTTGTTTTTGTTTTTTGTTTATTTTGTAGTATGGATGGAATTCACTTGTACTGCTCCTGTTTTAAACAGTCCAAATCTGCTTTTGCTGTAACGGTAAAGGCTTATGTGTTATAAAATTAATGAAGACTCTCCTCTTTTGCTGTAAATGCTTATGTTTCTCTGCTTCTCTTTCTACCATGTGGTGTGCACATATGTGGCATGAGTTGCTAGGCTGGACTTCTTTATGCTACTTGCTTGCCTGTGTATTTTTAATGATGCCAAAAGGGGAAAGAGTAGTTGGCAAAATTGAAGGGACTGATTCAGGGGGAAGCATAAATTCAGGGGAAACTTGTGACGTTCCTGTTACTCTATCTGATTTTTGTTGTTCTAAATATGATTGTCAATTTTTAAGTTTGTCATCATCAATAAGGGGAAAATTGATGGGTTTACCGTACCTTAGCTTTATGTTTTGATGATCTAACAAACTTACTGTCAAAGAACCAGATAAGGAACCTGATACACTTGGTACACAACTCAAATCAACGAACTTAAGCTAATGTGAGTTGCTATGACTTCAGAAGACAAGGAATCAGCATAGGGACCTGATCCTCATGGGTTTCCCTGGCAGCAGTACGAAGTCAACTGTCTACAGCTGGAAAGTGAACTGCCTGCACTGTACACGAAAACAGTGCAGCACAGTACATCAGTCACTTCTCATTGACCAACCAAGTGATTACATCATTCAAGTGATGCCATCTATGTTGTATCAACAATAAACATTATAACAAAATATCACTTGAACACTTGAGAATCATTCAAGCACTCCAAGCGTCTGACAATCAAGCATTCAATTCTCAAGGTGCATCAAGAACAAAGTAAAGCACTACTACGGACCAGTTCCTACAACAAGTCTCTTGTATGCCTTAGTTGAGTTGTAACTTGGTACTTGTTCTTCATTGTAATTCCTACTTTGCTTATCTAGAAGCTTTAATTAGGAACCCCTTGTAAACCATAAACCTTTAGTGTTTGTGTCGTGACTAGAGTTAGTCATGAGTTAAAGACTTTTTAATAGGTGTATTGCAAAATGGCTTGTAATAGGTGTATTACAAGTTAGTGAGGGATTAAGTGTTTAATTCCTAGATTGCATAGGTTGTAATCTAAAAGAATGCTCATAGTGAAGTTGAAATCCTACCAGTGTAGGTCGTGGTTTTTTATCCCCTTGAGCAGGTATTTTTCCACGTAAAAGTTTCATGTTCCATTTACTTACAGTTTCATTAGCTTTATGTGTGGAAACCTATATAGGACATGGTCTCTATATAGTTTGGTGGACTCATATATTCTATCAGAACATCAAGCCAAAGAACATTCTATACGTTGTAACATCAACTATGTCAGCGAAATATACCTTGAATTGGCATCAGAACAAGGTTTACTTGAACTGTTTAAATAAATAATCGTGACAATTTTAAATGTCTTCTTTATTTATCTACAAATTGAAAGGTCCATGGAGAAAAAGAAAAAAAGAAAACTAAAGGCTGGAGAGATAAAAGAAATATATTAGGAAAAGGTTAGTCGAAGATAAGATTCCCTAAAATTCAGGGGCATTGAAGCAAATAACATGCATCAGTTGGTCTCTTTTGTCGGAACGAAATTAATTTACAAATGACAAAGTTACAAAACCGTTAAACCTTGAGCGCTGCACCGCTAGATCGGCGATATATTGACGAAACAAAAAAGGAAAATCCATTAAACACGAGAAAATCAACCGTAGGACCCACGAGAGAATGAACTAGCCGTTGGAGACTTGAAATTCAAAAGCCCAATTTACAGACGCCTTATAGCTCGTACTCTTTCCATTTCGATATCCTTTGTTTTCTCTCTATCAGATTTTGTCTTCTCAGATCTCAGGCGCAAATCAATCGTCTTCTGTTCCTTTCAGGTAAATCTAAGAAGCATTCTCTGTGTTGTTTCCTTTTTCAATTTCAGGTGAAAAGAAGCAAACTTTACTTCATATTGTTAAATTCTCTTTCCTTTTTTCGCTCAATAATCTTCAGTTTGTTGTCAACTTGTCGATTTTGTATAGTAGTAAAAGTAGTACTTGAGATTATTCATTTAAGCCATCTTTTTTCTAGTAGTGCTTACTGCGCATGTTACTTGAATTTGGTGGAATTTGGCGATATTCAAATCATTTTGTCAAATTAGGAAATCCTAATTTTTAATCGGAAGTTGAAGTGGAGAATAGGAAAATAATCTGAGATCTAAGTAAACGACCCTGAATTTCTTATTTTTATTTTTTTTTTTGGTTTTTTTGCCGTTGTATTTAACAAATATTTTTGAATTTTGACTATTCTTCCTGTACACTAATGAAGTTAGGTACCATCTTTTTGTGTGTGTGTGTGTGTGTGTGTTTATTCCTCATAAAACAGAAACAATTTTAAAATTCGGTTTACTTCTGTAGGAGTACTTGGCAGGGGACGAATGTAGAGTTTTGTTTAGGGGTGTTTCCGCACTCACTGTCTTCAGTTTGAACCATAATTAACCAAGTTTTCACCCATTACCACAAAGGAGTAACAGGGCGTTGTGGTTACTCCGCACTGGGCTTAAATCGACCGTGTTTAGGGATATTTATAAATTCTAGCACTGTGTCAATGGTTAAATTGGTTTTCTTTTTACAATAAGATCATCAGAACATCTAAGAATCCATTATCTCAGTCTCCTTTCAAGAGGCTTTTGCATTTTTCAGCTGGAACTCATTTTGGGGAATTACTGGTCTATATCTAGTCAAGATGACTGTTAGAACTCCTGGTACTCCAGCTTCAAAGATAGATAAGACTCCCGCAACCACGCCTAGTGGGCATCGAGCTAGAGAGGAGAAAATTGTTGTAACAGTACGGTTAAGGCCTCTGAACAAAAGGGAGGTTTCAGCTAAAGACCATGCTGCATGGGAATGCATAGATGATCACACAATTATTTATAGACCAGTGCCCCAAGAACGTGCTGCTCAACCTGCTTCATCATTTACATTTGGTAATTGAAAGGCACATCCATTGCCTGTGTTGTTCTTGTCATTGTTGTCTTATCTTAATTTAGACTCTATAAAATCTGATTGAGAATATACCTTTCTTTTTTAATCTCAGATAAAGTCTTCGGTCCAGATAGTATAACTGAAGCAGTGTATGAGGAAGGAGTAAAGAATGTGGCTTTATCCTCTTTGATGGGAATAAATGGTAAGTCTCTTGCTCGTACGCATAAGGTAGGTTTTATATGAATAAGTCAAGCTTTTAGGAAACATTTTGATCGTGGATTTTTTGCATCTCAGCAACTATATTTGCGTATGGACAAACCAGCAGTGGGAAGACTTACACAATGAGGGGAATTACCGAGAAAGCTGTAAACGACATATATGCACATATAATGAGTGTAAGTGATAAGTCAAGTAGTTCCTGTTTCATCCTTGTATTTTCTACAAATTCTACATCTTTATACTACGTAGTTTGTTTAACTTGAAATAAAACAAAAATTTTGACGGTCGTTGGAAGTGCAATTATCCTTGGAACTGCCTCTGATTCGTTTTTTCTTTTTTTGTTATTTGACATTGTTGTTATAGACCCCGGAAAGAGAATTTAGAATAAGAATATCTGGACTGGAGATCTACAATGAAAATGTCAGGGACCTATTGAATTCTGAATCTGGTCGCAGTCTCAAGCTTCTTGATGATCCGGAGGTATACTTAAGCTAAAATTAACGGACCTTCAAATTTTATAGCCTTCACTCTCTTGTATCAATCTCACATGGTATCCTTTTGATTTGCAGAAAGGAACTGTCGTTGAGAAATTGGTGGAAGAAACAGCAAGCAATGACCAACACCTGAGACATTTAATTAGTATCTGTGAGGGTAAGCATTTGATTCTTTCAAAGTGAAATTGCTTTATTTATGCAATTAGTTGTTCCCGGCGCAGCCTTCTTCAAAATGTACCAACATTCTTAAATCTGCAGCTCAGAGGCAAGTAGGAGAAACCGCCTTAAATGATACAAGCTCGCGATCTCACCAGATAATAAGACTGGTCAGTCCTCAATTGAGTCCGAAATTCTTGTGTTCCCCTATTGAAATGCCCATAGAAACAATTTTTTTGAACTGACTATTGCTTTTTATCACAATGTAGACAATAGAAAGCACTCTTCGTGAAAGTTCTGATTGCGTGAGGTCTTATGTAGCAAGCTTGGTAAATGAACCTCCATCTTGATTGTTTTAGAGGACACTTGTGAGCGATAGACTCATGACCTTAATCATTAATATTTCTGTGCTGCAGAACTTCGTAGATTTGGCTGGGAGTGAAAGAGCCTCACAGACAAATGCAGATGGTGCCAGGCTTAGAGAAGGCTGCCATATCAATCTTAGTTTGATGACTCTCACAACCGTAATTAGAAAGCTCAGGTCTGTAACCACTTTTGTGACAGCTTGACTGATGGAAAAAGCATGGATAACATTGTGCTTTAGTTCTTTATTGAAGTTATCTCATCATCCCCGTTCGCTGTACAGTGTAACCACTTTTATGACAGCTTGACTGATGGAAAACAGCATGGATAACATTGTGCTTTAGTTCTTTATTGAAGTTATCTCATCATCCCCGTTCGCTGTACAGTGTAAAGCATGGGCAAATATTTTTTGCTACTTTAGCCTCTTGCAGAAATGCAGGGTAAGGCTGCGTAAATAGACCCTTGTGGTCCGGCCCTTCCCCGGACCCCCCCACCCCCCCCCGCGCATAGCGGGAGCTTAGTGCACCGAGCTGCCTTTTTTTAGTTCTGTGCTAAAAGTTAACTCATTCTTTGTGTTGGGGACATGCCTGTCTATAGCACCTTGCTGCAGTTGATAACTTATCACTTTATTCTGTCATTAGGTTGAAATTCTCCATTCAGATTGGTTCATTTCTATTGTTTTTTCCTATATGTAGTGTGGGCAAAAGAAGTGGTCATATACCCTACCGAGACTCAAAGCTGACAAGAATATTGCAACATTCACTTGGTGGGAACGCCCGTACTGCGATAATATGCACTCTCAGCCCTGCATCTAGTCACGTCGAACAATCTCGCAATACTCTCTACTTTGCCACCCGAGCAAAGGAAGTCACGAATAACGCCCAAGTGAACATGGTACTTCTAGTAACTAGCCTTATTACCTTATTACTGATATACGTCTTTTATGAGCTGTACCTCATTTTATCTTTTAAGTTTTAACACAAATATTAAACTTCTGTCTTTCCTATCAGGTTGTATCCGACAAACAGCTTGTCAAGCATCTGCAGAAGGAAGTAGCCAGGTTGGAAGCAGAGCTGCGCACCCCAGACCCAGCTAGTGAGAAAGATTGGAAAATTCAACAGGTTCATTAACGATGAATTTCTTTTGAAGAGTACGACATTTAAGTTTTAGTAATATTTATTTGACTAATTGACTGGCCCTTTTAGATGGAAATGGAAATCGAGGAGCTGAAGCGTCAAAGGGATCTTGCACAGTCACAAGTTGATGAGTTGCGCAGAAAGCTTCAGGAAGAACAGGTTTGTATCTAAGTCATCTTGTCTTGCAACTCAGAGTGAAGTAAAGGTGTCTGTATGCTAACATTGAATCCCTGAAGCAGGGACCGAAGCCATGTGAATCTGTTAGTCCGGTTGTGAAGAAATGTCTCTCATTCTCCGGCACATTATCTCCAAACCTTGAAGAAAAAGCACCTGTACGTAGTGAAAGAACAAGAAACACAATGGGAAGGCAGTCAATGAGGCAGTCTTTAGCTGCCCCTTTTACACTCATGCATGAAATTCGAAAACTCGAACATCTCCAGGAGCAGCTTGGAGATGAAGCAAATCGAGCATTGGAAGTACTGCAAAAGGAAGTTGCATGTCATAGGCTAGGTAACCAAGATGCTGCAGAAACTATTGCTAAACTGCAAGCAGAGATCAGAGAAATGCGTTCTATACGGCCACTTCCCAAAGAAGTTGAAGTTGGAAGTGTTGTTGCTGTCAATAAGAGTGTCAGTGCCAACCTGAAGGAAGAGATAGCCAGACTTCACTCACAAGGAAGCACAATTGCTGATCTTGAAGAACAGCTAGAAAATGTTCAGAAATCACTAGACAAACTGGTTATGTCTCTTCCAAGCAATAATGATCAACAGTCAAACAATGACACCACACAAAAGGCAAAGCATCCATCAAAAAAGAAGAAGTTGCTTCCACTGACCTCGAGCAACAGTATCAACAGGCAAAATTTCTTGAAATCTCCTTGTTCTCCTCTATCAACCGCACGACAAGTACTGGATTGTGAGGTTGAAAATAGAGCTCCAGATTCGGATGATTTGTCCTGTGAAATTCAGCCGGATGAGACTCCTACAAAAAGTGATGGAGGAGATGTTTCATCAAAGGAAGGCACTCCATATCGCCGTTCCAGTTCTGTGAACATGAGAAAAATGCAGAAGATGTTTCAAGAGGCAGCAGAAGAGAATGTCAGAAACATAAGATCATATGTGACAGAACTTAAAGAACGGGTGGCCAAGCTTCAATACCAAAAGCAGCTCCTCGTATGCCAGGTAAAGCTTGGATTCTCTTTGTTTCTGGTGTACTAATTGAAGTTGTTCAAAATTTCAGGCATCCTGAAGCTTCTGCTTTGCTATTCTTCTTCATAGTTTATCCCTTTGCCGCAATTTCTTGAATTTTACTTTATTTCTTGTTTGTGCCTGTAGGTGCTTGAGCTGGAAGCAAATGAAGCGGCTGGATACAATTTAGAGGATGATGAAAACATTCATCAGATCCCAGAAGAGTCTCCAGTTTCTTGGCAAATCACATTTAAGGAACAGAGGCAGCAAATTATTGACTTATGGGATGTTTGCTACGTTTCCATTATTCATAGGTCACAGTTCTATCTGTTATTTAAGGGAGACCCTGCTGATGAAATATATCTGGAAGTTGAACTCAGGCGCTTGACATGGTTACAACAGCACCTGGCTGAGCTTGGAAATGCAACCCCGGCTCGTGTTGAAAATGAGCCAACAGTCTCTTTGTCATCAAGGTATTTTTCTTTTCCTCTCTTTCCTCATGTTCTATCTATGTGTGCATAGAGTCTTTATTAAATGCAAGCCCGGCTCATGCTCAAATTCTGACAATATCATATTTATCAATGGAATACAGCATTAGAGCTTTGAAGAGGGAAAGGGAATTTCTTGCCAAGAGATTGACAACCCGTCTGACAGCTGAAGAAAGAGATTATCTGTACATAAAATGGGATGTTTCTTTGGAGGGAAAACAAAGGAGAATGCAATTTATTAACAAGCTTTGGACAAATCCGCATGATGCAAAGCATGTACATGAGAGCGCCGAGATAGTGGCAAAGCTCGTAGGTTTCTGTGAAGGAGGGAACATGTCAAGAGAGATGTTTGAGCTTAATTTTGTCCTTCCATCGGATAGGAGGCCATGGTTCGCTGGCTGGAACCAAATCTCCGACCTCCTTCATATCTAAGAAGCTTAGATTCTTTTTGTAAGTAAATTGATTGTATTGCGTGTTGTTTCATGTATATGAAACTCTGGAGCCTCCCAATTTTGGAGCCTCCGAAGTTGTTCCAGTACTGATTAATTTAGAACACTATGAAGGATTAGAATTTGAGGCATCACACCATGCAGCTTCATTTTATGAATAAAGAATTCAATTGAAATTGTGATATCTGTATTAGATACTTGTTCACTATCCACCTACACAGATTTGTTGCACGTACACACAGATTTGCTGCACCTACACAGATTTGCTGCACAAGCATAATGTTGTTCTATGAGAAAAATATCATGGCTAGCTACTGCTAATACAATTTAGTGCACATACATAATAAGAGGAGCAGGGAAAAGGAAGACAGAAAAAAGAAATTGGAAACTGAGGGATTTGTTATGCTTACTTGCTAATCCTCCAACAATTAGGCTTCATATGGAGCAGTAATTTCATCTAGAATGATGATAAGGTAACATGGTCTATTTTGAGTTTAATTTTAGGTCCCAGCAACAAATTTTAGTATTGTTCCCCACTGTGGATTTAACAAACTGTCCACTTTGGTTGACTTATTGTATTCATTTACAAAGGCGATCATTTTTCCCTGAAGTATTTTGAGTCCGCTTATCTGTTTTTTTTTCCACTTACATTCCCTCTTTTTGAGTTTTCTTGCGCCTTTCTTTCTCCAAAAGTCCTCTTATTATCTCTGTTATTTATTCATGTCATATTTTTTGGAAGTTCTCATGCTCGAGTAGGAGTAGCAAGAGATAGCTGTTGCCAGGGATTACAAAGCACATTGGTAAAAAGAACTGGATCACACTCAAATTGATAACTTGCAAGTTAACTCATTTTAATAAAATTTTGCATTTAGTCCAAGCAAATCAAAGGCATAGAGAATATATGGATAGAGTCATAGAGAAATACCACATATTGTCTTAGGATAACTTAGGACAGAATTTCATCTCATGAGAGTTACTGTGTGTACTATGATAGTACACACAGTAACTCTCATGAGACATCACACATATAAGTTTTCACTCCCTACTCATAGAACACACAGCAAGAAGCAGGATATGGATAGACTGATGTAGCATTAACACTTGGGGTAGGGAAGACCACAAGTACGAGCGACCTTTTTGGCACCAGGAGAGTTGACATAGTTCCTTAAATTTGGGTTCTTTAGATATTGGCAGAGGCAAGGCTTTTGTTCCCTGATCTTGCTGCAGCAGAGTCTAGATGGTGGTGAGTTCGATGTGATCGCGCCAAGGCAAGGGCTTAGCTGAATTGCACTGCATGTTACAGCTACAGAGATGTGTGCTTCAGCAATAAGCAGTACTAGAACTATGAAAAGTGCAAGTTTTGATGGTGTCTTCATTTTTGTCACTTGAAGATTGCTTTGTTTCAATTGAGAAGAAGAGAAAGTTGGAGGAATAGGACTTGGATGAGCTGCATTGTAGCTTAGTCCTGGCTCAATTTATAGAAGAAGCATTGGTAAAAACTTAATATATTCAGGATAAGGTTTTGTTAGAAAGTACAACACTAGTACTAGTGCATGTTCTTTAATTTACTTTTGTGCTATGATTTCCATAATTATGTTCTCCCACTGAGTTAAGTCAACATGGAGCAACACGCGTGAGCAGGTCTTGTTCAGTATCCAAATACTTTTTTTTCTTAGCTGCATAAACTGTTCAAATGTGAGATGTTGAATGGTAAGGCACACCTAATGGCATGGGACTACTTAGTAAGGTGAAACCGTGAAAGTAACCGACAAGGGTTGCGATGGAGGTTAAGTACTCCTTCATCTTTAATTAGAGGTTTCGGGTTCGAGCTCTAAGTATGAAGCCACCTTTGTTAGGGAGCGCTTTATCTCCCAACGTGGAACTTCCCGGCGCGAATCTGGATTTAATCGGGCCCTAACACGGGTGGTGCAAATCTGATATAGTCAAGCCTTAATATGGATACCGAATACGGGTGACCAAAAACTTAAAAAGAGTGGAAGTAGTACTTTATCACATACTCAATTAGACACGAATGGCCATCAGGGAAGAAAATAGACTGTCATCCTCAAGTAAAGATAATGTGAATAAGTGTGAATCCTATGAATTCAAGTCTCAAAGCTAAATTTCGTTGCATGCTTGAATTGTAGGAGTAGCAGCAAAGGATTTACCAAATTGGCACTGCATTGACTAGTTATATTAATCTCGCCTCCATTTATTATTGTCGTTATATCTGTTTTATTTTATATGATGGTGTTTGACTAGACACGAAATTAAAGATGTTAATTTGGCATACATAATATATTAGTGATGACGAAGGAGAATAATAAAGTTATAACTGAACAGAAAATAAACATTACACCAAAGTTAGAGGGTAACATGTTTAATGAACTTGTGAAAGGTTTAGTAAACTAGATAGAGGTCAAACATTTTGGAACATCCCAAAATGGAAAGTATGTCTTATAAATTGAAAAAAATAGAGTGATATTATTCCTGGGTTAAGATTATGTTGTAGGGTAAAAATATGCAGAAGTTCAGGTATTTACAAAGGGAAAATGTTAATTAATCTCAATAATTAGAAGGAAGGAAAATTTTAATGCCAAGAAAATGAAACTCATTATAGAGAATCATCGAGGTGTATGATTTAGTATTTTAGTACTTTGCTTGCATTCATGTTATAATTAGTTGTGGCATGGCATACCAGTAATCATTATTCTTTTGTTGCAATGAGAAAGTGCATTTGTGGCCCCAATTCCACTATTTTATATTTTACATAGATTCTTTTTTTTTTTAAATTTATATTATGCAATAGAAATTAGACATATTCTTCTTTATCTTTTTCTCCGTACGTGAAGAGTAATGCAAATACTTATTAAACTTTCAGCTAGATCCATTGCTTATTCTATACATTTCCATTTGATTTATGAAAAATGAAATTGGGAATTCTACATTCAAAAGGGATCTCGGAACTTTGTTCAGGAAAATTTAAGTCACAAAATAATTTCTTTGAACTTATTCAACAAGGACTACTTGCATGCATGACTAATTAATGTCTCATTTTTATAGAGACACCAACATTTTATTTTATTTTTTCAAAGTTGATGATAAGATCCATTATTTTACACAATTCAGCTTCATGTTTTACTTAAATAAATAATGATGACCAATGTACTCCATTTTGCATTAATTTAGCCCCTCCAATTGAAAAAGAGAAAATACTAAAGTAAGATCTTGAGAGGAAAATGGGGGATCCGCCGACTGACAAAACAATCCAATCCGAACTGTCCATTTTTCAGACAGTAGGATAATGAATGGCTTGGATTGATCACTCAAGAATAACACATTTGATAATGAGGAGCATTGTGTACTAAAGTTTTGTTGTTTAATACTACAAATGATGTGGTGCAGTGGATGGGACTGCACCTTCCTAGGTCTCGAGTTCGAGTCCTGGATATGGATAGGGAGCGCTTCCCCCGAAAGGGGCCTTACGCGGCGCGAATCCGAATATAGTCGGCCTCAATGCGGGTACCGGACACCGAGTGGGAAACCAAAAAAAAAAAAAGAATTAACCCGTCCATTCAATCGCTTAAATTAAAAATATTCGGTGAACGTAACGGTTGGTGAAAGGCCGTATTCAAGTATAAATTTCTAAAACAATTTCAAGTAACCAAACCAACAAATTATTGCATAGTGAGTCTGCTTTCGGTGATATATAGTGATTGCCACTACTGACTTTGTTCACGCTTTGGTGTGTCCCAATTATCATGATTTGATTCACACAATTGATTTTGTTTTTCTGCTAACATGTTTCCATCAAAAGCTATACTTTTCCCAAATAAAAAATTATGAAGTGCTATTCTTTTTTCTTTTCTTTTAAATTAACTATTCACTCTTCAGGTTCAAGTGCACCTGAACAGTAAAATAAGGGAAAGGTAAAAGAGGGGGAAAACCTTTGGTGAGATTAAACCCTTTTTTTGGTGAGATTCTTATGCATGATGGAGTTATATTTTTCTATTTTACTTTAATAAAAGAAACTTAATTATAGTAAAAATCATTTTAAGTTTTATTTGTTGAACTTCGAATCAGTGAGGCTTCCAGCGTTACATGAGCTGATAGATTCATTAACTTGATAACGAGTAATACTTGTATGGTTAAAGTACACTTTCTAATTAATTAATTAATCTGAATAACTAAATTTTAAGTTGGACTGGTGTTTCACTTTTAGCAGGGACAAAATGGAGGAGATCTTCATTGCCATTGGTGAGGATCTGAATAACATTTTAATGCAGATAGTTACTACTAGGGGTAGCAAAATGGTCAAAAGAAAACAGTTAACTCGAAAAGTATTTAGTGCACATTTCGGTCAACTCTTAGAATGAGATTTCCTTTTTTGTTTATGCAAAAGGGCGTTCTAGTGTGTTGTAGATTCTTATCCAAGACTTGTATCATGAAAACAGAATTTCAATTTTCTATTCAATTCAAAATTCAAATTGAAGTATGATACTTTTCTGATATTTGAGAGATCAAGAATTCTCACCATTTTTTAGATTCATGGACCCAATTCAATTCAGTGGGATCCTTCATTCACATTTTTTTCCACCAAGAACGTTTTCTAAAACTCTTTGACCCCCGAATTTGGAGTATCCTATACTCGATTCCATTACATGCATCGGGGGCAATCGAAAAAGCCAGCATTTCTTGGAATACTGTAAGAACTGAAAACTAATAGATAAACAAGGATTAAACTTGAATCGGATATTTTGAATACCAACTAAGATTTAGAATACTAATAAATTACAACGTTACAAAGAACTTCAGGACATGACTACCCCACCCATATTATCCATTAAAAATTGGGTTGGATAATAAACTTTTTAAAAACGGGTCAAATATGGATAAGAATCATATTATCCATTTAGAAAATGGATAACCAATGAGTAATCAATGGACAACCAATGGATCTAACTTTTACATTTTGTAAAGCCTCAAATTGGAGGTTCCTCAAGTTAGGGATACTAAGAATTCTTCCAAAAGTTATCATTCACAAGAAGTTATCTATAATATGGGTAACCCATATTATCCGTATTAAATATGGGTCGGGTCGGATAATTGATCCGTTTTTTCATTACCCGCTTTCGACCCGAACCAAATCTGTCCCGACCCGCCCGTTTACCACTCCTAGTTACTACTAATGGGAAGGTTGAAGGTTGCAGATTGCATAAAGAAGCTTCACACAAATAGTTGCTTCACATAAGTATGTGAAGATAAATGGATGGTGGCGGTGGGGCACAATGACGGACCCAGGAATTTATGTAAGCGGGTTCAGATAAAAATAAAATCCTCTACTTCATCGACAGTATAAGCAATACCAGGTTTAACAAATGGAGTTTATCGTTCGTTCTTTGTTTGTCTTCGTAACAAAACCTCCCAAAAAAATTGCTCGGTACTTTTTTTTTCTTTCTCCTTTTTAAGGTCGTCCTTTCAAAACATATAAAGATTTCATTTTAACAACTTTTTACTTACCTTTTTAACTTTAACAATTTATAAAACTTTTACAAATTTTTAATGATTTTATTTAACAAAAATCAATTTAATCGATACCAAAATACTAAGTAATTTCTACTTATTTGTTAAATTTTACAAATTAGCAAACTCTAATTTTATTTTATTTTTGACAAGCTAATGATTGCAAACCATAACAAATAGAAGAGGAGTATAAACTAAATTAGAGTAATAATTTTTTAATATAAGATTTCTGGAATTATAAAAATATGCTAGATTAAAACAAATAATGATAAATAAAAGTCAATGTTTTGTCAACCACAAGAAAGAGGCAAGTATAATACTTAAAATATTTTAAAAAAATTCAAATAAAAAAATGTTAAACTAAGATAGAAGAATACTCTAACAGAGATTTAAATTAAACAAATTAATATGTTAAATGGCATTGGGCCTAAAAATCTACTGATTTTTGGAAAAACTAAGAAAAGCTGAATGTATAGGGACGCGATCCCACACCTTAGCCTTAAAAGGAACACGCTATAACCATTGTACCACGCCTGACTTTTTGTCAAGTGGATTCAACGTTTATTCTTTTATTTTTGTTTCTTATAAATAAAATTTATACATAACGATAGCATTATTTTTTTACGAAGCGGGTTCAGCTGAAACCGCTTGAACCTATGTAGGTCCGCCTCTGGTGGGGCAGGGCGGATGCGGGGTTGAAAACTCAGTTTTCAACTCGCCCCGCCCCGCCTCGCCCCACTTAAATTTTTTTCCTTTTTTCTTTTATTTTTTTTTAAAACAAACTAGTTTGACATTTTATTATTTTATAAAATGGAGAGTTTAATATTATTCAAGCAATTATATTTTTCTCTTTATCGTAGTGTGAAATTACATGCTTATACCAATTAATCTCATCAGTAGTAACATAATTTTTCAAATGTATAAAACTAACCACGCACTGCCCATGAAACACTATCGTAGTGTGAAATTATGTTTATATTAATGAAAAATATTACCCACGTTTTATGTTTACGTTCTTTCAGATGCCATTTTTATCCCTTAAAGGCTAATGGCAGTTATGCCACCACGTTCATGCTGAGCTGCTAAGAAATTTGAGAGATAATTTTATTTATGGTCATTAAACTTTTGTGTTTGTTATCCAAAAGTCATTTTTTTTTTTTGTTACGTAAAAGTCATTCAACTTTGTGTTCATTACACGAAAGTCACTTTTCTTTCTCTTGTTATACAAAAACCATTTTACGTTGCTCTAGTTATCACAAAAGTCACATTTTTACTTGAAAATTCTATTATGCCCTTAATATTATATAAACCTTCATGTTTATGTAATACCTTCTATATTATATACTATATAATATATTTTTACCTATGTATTTTATTTATAAATAAAATAACTTATATTATTTTATTTATTATTTTTATAATATATGCGTATATTTACTTTTTTCTGACCATGGATAAAAAATTTTCTGACCATGGACAAAAGTCACAAAAGTTCAATGACCATGGATAAAATTAACTCGAAATTTGATGGGTATTTCAGATGCCATTTTTATCCCTTAAAGGTTAGAGCTATTCTGCTAACGTGCACCTGAGATACCAAATTCCACAGTGGCGGATCCAGAATTTTAAACTGATGGGTGCTCGCCAATAAAAAATCCAAAAGAAGAGGAAAAGTGAGTTTATTTGTGGGTGCTCACTCTATATTTAACTAACTATTTTTATAATTGCCTGTGTAAATTTACTAAATCTGGTTAAAAATAATGTGTGATCACGCACCCATAAGTGTCCATGTACATTCACCACTGAACTTCCATGGTGAATCTCTAATATTGTACTTGAAATGATCTTTGTTTCAAAAAAGATAATATTCAAAGTTGCCCCACATTGAATCCGCAACCCGCCCTGCTTTAAGAATTTTAAAAACTGTTTTAATCCGCCCGCCCCGCACCCGCATAAGAGTAAACCCGCCTCGCCCCATTGCCATTCCTACCTACGCGCACCTCGACTAATTCCACGGGATACCTACCACCTTCACCCTCCACGGGATACCTACCACCTTCACTTCTGGTATACTCTTTCTTCCAAGGCTTATCTTATAGTTTTGGCAAAACAGGATTATTTTTTTTTAAAATAATCCGCACCCGCATGAGAGTAAACCCGCCTCGCCCCATTGCCATCCCTACCTACGCGCACCTTCACTAATTCCACGGATACCTACCACCTTCACCCTCCACGGGATACCTACCACCTTCACTTCTGGTATACTCTTTCTTCCAAGGCTTATCTTATAGTTTTGGCAAAACGGGATTTTTTTTTTTTTTTTGAAAAAAAAAATGTTTGTTTTGTGTTGCTTGGACCAAACAACTGTTTTTAACCTATCAATACTAGTACATGGACAGGTTACAATCATACTGTTGGTACAAAAGCTCTAACATCAAACACCTGTAACTGTGAGGTCATATGGCTTCAAGTTGATTGCCAAATCCTTCACTTTTACATTGGAATTGTCTGCTTTATGTCCAAACATACATGCTTAGAAGAATAACTATTAGTAACAACAAGGAAGACTAATACTTATAAATGCGATGAGGTTGGCCTGCTGCAAATGACAATACAAAGAGAAAGCATACTCCACTTCTAATCTCTGCAGGGAATTTCAAACGTTAGAGCACATAGATCAGTCTTATAAGAACTTGGATTAAAAGGTCAAGATGAACGTTAAGATTTAAGAGTAAAACAACAACATATATCAAGTCACTTGTCCGAAGGTATCTAAAGTTATCAACGCCTAGCTAGACAAAGCATGTTGAAACTTGAACCATGTTATCACCGAAACAAAATTTCAAGGAGTTCAAATCAGGAAAAAGCAAGCATACAAAGTTGATCGATCAGTCTTTCTATCCGGCCAAGGAAAATTAGGCTATCAGAGTTCAAGCTTCTGCCAATATTTGGATGAAGCACAAGTCAGATATGAAGTGCTTCCATGTAATGAAGGAAAGAACTTTGTTTTTAAGAAGATACTCTCCATTATTTGGTCAACTCTTTTTGCAAATGGTAATAACATATCATAGACCATCGGTTTTGTTCATCATATGCATAGAAAGCAATTCTGTAGACTAATGCACAAGGGTTACTTCACAGTTTAATGTCAAATCAAAACTTACCATGCTATGCTGTCCCAATGAAGAAAACCGCCGTGCCCTCTAGCATTCGAGAAGTTATAATCAGGTCCAGAGACTGGGCACATAAAGAAGTGAGAGATGCATTAGATCGATTTACTACAAGCTAAAAACACTTCAAACAAAGTCCATTAGGATCAGAAGGTTCCGAGCAAAGGCAGCAAAATACCTTCGTAACCCCCAAAAACTGGATCCTCTGCCAACAAAAGGGGTGTGTCTAGGTCGACGAATCTGTGGAATTTAGATACACAAATTAGAGACCATGTCTGTTGAATTGCATAACCAAGTGAATACCAATGAAAATGAGATAACAATACAACCATGATTATGCGTAGTGTTTGCCTAAACTTAACATGGATATACTGATCTCAACTTTAATGAAAATACTCTCACAGAATTCAAAGCAGAATTGATCTAGTGATAGAATTGTACAAATTGTTCAACCCGATGAGTTGATTAAAATACTATGTTGAGTTTGGGTGATACAGGCAAGGCGAGGAGAGCGGAAGTAATACTATTTTTCCCAGCATGATGGATATATTATGAGTTTGATAAAAGCAGTTTATTTTTCCAGAGAAATTTCAACAGAAACTTACTTGAAACATCCAAGTCCAGCAGCTAGATGACCAGCAAAGCCCATGGCAAGTCTGGTTTCAACCATACCACCAATCATTAAATTTAAGCCCATGGACCTCGCCAAGTCAATAATTTCCAGAGCCCCAAGCACCCCCACTTTGGCAAGCTTAATATTAATGACATCAGCAAGACTTTCTTGCACTATCTTTTTAGCATCAGCCAAACTTCGACAGCTTTCATCAGCAGCAACAGATACCCCATATTTATCCTTTGCGATCTGACTAACATGTCCAAGACCTTCCCAATTGTCTCTATGAACAGGTTGTTCAAAGAGCACTGGAGTCACCTCCATTTCTGATAGGAAATCAGAGATTTGTGATTTTCTCTTTAGTGCAGATGATAATATTTCGGAGCAACTGAAAGAGACTAATCTAGCATGAAGATATTTCTAGCATATCAGAGGGAAGAAATACGAGATTTATAAATTCTTTATTATTCCTCTGTCGATACAGATAAGGGAAGATTTGATCTAGATTATTAGTAACTAAATAAAAAGAGTACTTTACCATGCAACTTTTCCAGGACTTTAATAGCTTCTTTTGCAGTGTAACCTTCATTAGCATCCAAGATAAACAAGCAATTAGGATGTGCTGCACGTATGGATTGAAGAACTTCAATGTCTCCATTCAAATTCTTGCCCACCTTAAGCTTTAAGGTCTTGAAACCTTGTTTACGATACTTTGAAGCCAGTTCAAAAGCTTCCGTGGGTGAAACTATCGGAATCTACAATAAGATGGTCACTGAGATCAATTTAAACACGTCTATGGCAGTTCTTAATTTCTACTATAATTTTCTTCTGTAAGAATTTCCTGCTAAATATGATTTCCAGTTAGCATATGTTTGATGGCATTGTTGTAACTTGAGAGCGATGTTTGTGGCAGAAAGTACTTGGAAAGCAACAGAAGTGGAAATTTACTGTGAATTGTCAACTAAAGCAGAATAAGAAAGGAAAAGCCTTAACTGTAATGTCAGTAGATATTGAATTAGATACTCCACCAAACAGTCTCCACAGAGGTATTCCAATGCTGTTTGCCGCTGCATCAATCATTGCCATCTCAACTCCTGCCCTGACCTTCAATCATGTTATAATTTGAATCAGTACTACACAAGTTTTGAGTTGTACAAAGGTGATTTTGAAAGATAAGAATCCACATATTTAAAAGTAAATAAAGGCTCAAGGTAGCTTGTCTATTCATCTTGTGGAAACCATGATGTCCAAGCTGGAGGCACCAGGCTATTGTAAACACACAAGTACATGTTCGGTCCGGTGTATTAAGAAAGATCTGTCACAATATGAAAAGATAACTAGTGTAGAAAGGGTCCCGCCACAGGACGTCGCCAAAGGCCAAAAAGAGATACTGACTGAAGGTAAGACAAAAGAATTAGGCGAGAATCAGCTATACATCAGAAACTTGCAAGCTTTAAATCAGCTATACAACGTCTTTAAGTACAACTCTCATTCTAGGAAGAAACACGCATGCTAGTTGTGTATGTCCTTTCGGAGGATAACTGTCTCTTAATTCCATTTCCATTTCCAATTTCGCGAAGTCAGAATTCTACGCCTTCCCTATCCTACCCCCTAAACTCTGGAAACCAACTGCAAATGTATATAAGCTGGAAAAAAGGTCTATTGAATTGTTACAGTAACAAAGGCAGCCCTCCACTCAATAACCATTATTTAAAGAAGATAAATTAACTCCATTATCAGCAATTTTATCTGTCACTTAGACCTAGAGAAAATAACACAAAAACAGATAAGCCTATAACATTCGATGTTATGTTGACCTTTGAGTTTCAACCCCGAGAACCAATTCCATGATAAACTTAAAATGGTAAAGCCAAAAGAATTTCATAGTTCAGTTTAAGATAACAAACTAACATCAAGGTTAAAGAACTGCTTGTGTCAGAGAAAATACTGTGTAGAATTTTCAGTTATCACACACCTAGTCAGAAAAAACAACTCAAGTTCCCTATGGAACATAGTAAACAACTGACACAAAACTAAATTAGTACTGCCTACTAGTGTGAACAAAAAGGAGGACCCTAGACCCAAATGGACCCAAAGCCAAAACGAGAAGAAATCAAACACTGTATCAATATTAAAACTAACAATAAACTGAGTTAAACACTAAACCCCAGAAAGAAAGAAAGAAAAGGGCAGCCCGGTGCACTAGGCGCCGCTATGCCGGGGTCGGGGAAGGGCCGGGCCATAAGTGTCTATTGTACACAGCCTTACCCTGCATTTGTGCTAGAGGTTGTTTCCCCGGCTCAAACTCGTGACCAGGGACCTCCTGGTAACTTTACCAATTATGCCAAGCTCCTCTTCAGCCCAGAAAGAAAGAAAAAAAACACTTTATTGCACAATCCATAATGACAAAGTAAAAGAAATTACTGGTATAACTCACAGAGGCAAAATCATGGCCAGGGAGCACATCTCCTATTTTTGTTAGTGCGTGATTTAAGGTCATTTCCGGACTCTGCCTCAAGAATTCACATGCTTCAGCTGCTTTAGCTAAGGCTGTGGGCTGATCCTCTGCAGTAACAAAAGGAAGAATAGGAGCCTCACCCCAACCAACACAACCATTACTCAACTCTATCCTTATAGCTATGTTTTCCACTTTGTCCAATCTTGATGTGGCAATTGTAAAAGGAGCAATCAGTGGCACATTCAGTGGCCTCCCTTCAGCTTTGTGAACATCAATAGTCACTGTTTCCATCAAATTCTTGAACCCAAAACTTGTGGGTGTCAACGTTGGCATAGCTGCCGCCATGCAAGCAGAGATGGTTTTTTTGGGATTCTTGAAATTGAGTGAAAAGTTTTGAGCTTTGGACAATTGGGTATGTTGTGTTGATGAGTGAAGAAAGCAGTGTGATTGGAAGTTCTGAGAAAGCCCAATTCGACCCATTTCTTATGACAATCAGTGATAGTACTAAGTACTGAGTTTGAGTGTTTCTGATTGGTCTTTTTTGGGCAGAAAAGGAAAGATTTCAAGAATTGACATAGTGAGCTCTGTACTTTGTTCTTGTAATTGTCCCCAGCTGACTGTGAGTGAAAGGGTGGTGGGTTTATTTTATTTGGAAAATGTCACTTCTTTATTCCTCTATTGCAAGTTGGGATCTAAACAAGTTAAAAAGGACCAGAGTATTTGTGTGGTTATATTACAGATAGAATTGTAATTTTAAGCTAAATTATTAGAATTTTTAATTCATGGGTACGTGACAGCTAGAAATGTTTACTATTATTTGTTGATTCTCCATTAATCTTTTCTCAAAAATAGATCAACCATCATTTTAGCAAGATTTAATAATGCTCACAGGAAAGTAGTCCCAACGTGATACTCAGCAATCAGTAGTAATATATATATACTATACTATAGTATATCATAGGATGTCTCTTGGATGCTTCCTAGGGTTATTTCCTAGTCACTACTTAATACAGTTCCTATCCCTATTTAACCTTCAAAGGGTGAATTAGTGGCGATTCGTTGGTGCTTTCTTACTAAGCATTTTCTAAGTTCTTGTCTTTATTGAAAAGCATAAAAGTTTGAATTTTTCGACAACAAGAAAATCCAATTCCAGATATTATGATTTTTGCTACTCCGTACATCAATGGCATAGGCCACATGTCGTCTTTACTAGTGTTTGCACTCTTTTGATAAAGTAACAATCAGGTATATGCAGCTTCTTGGCGAACAAAAGCAGCAATCTTTTCTGCAACTATATGATATATATATATGTGTTTGCTCAAAAGTTATCATATACCTTATGAGTGTAAACAATATAAATAAATCACGGAAAAATCATGGCAAACCGTAATAATCCATTAGACCAAATGAAAGATGCGCAAATAAGTACTCAGAGTTAGGAGGAGAAACATTAAAATCCTTTATTGATAATGTTGATTTGGCCTGCCTCTCCATGAAGAGGTTCAGAGCCTTACAATGGTGTTCTACTCTCTCATAATATGTGTATCGTTATTTCTTTCTCTCTCTCTCTTGAATAGTAAAGAAGAAGAAGCCCCCCTTCTAGGGTTTTCTCTCTTGATATTTATAGCTGTGAGCTTCGTGAGCTGGCAATAAGTGGTCGTGACCACGTTGGGATTTCGCCTTCATGGCATGGGCCGTGGTTTCGTTGATCAAATCAGGCGAGGAGTAAATACCGTTAATTCTAAGTGGTCGTACCACTTATTAATCATGAATTAGCTTAAGACGGGATTAGCTTCGTTAATTATCGTGGGGCCGGATTCTGACCCATACAGTTAGTCCCTCCGCTTATTGAGATCGTGCCTTGGCCGAGCTCGATGAGCGGATTTCATCGACCGTAGTTTGAGAAACTCGGATAGGGAGGTCGGCTGTCGTTTCGGTCGAGGCCGAATTCTCTTTGGCGATGGCCCTTAGCCTTGTAGAGTGTTAGCGTTTTGTTATTTTGTCAAGTCGTCGTTCGATCAAGGTTGAACTCTCCTCCTTGGCGAAGGCACTTGACCCTTTTAACTTAATTCGAGTGAGGTCGAGCTTTATTGTGCTCTGATCCTTACGGGTTACAAGAATTACGTCCATACGAACGTTAGTAGCGTTAGCTGCAGTTTATGGTCTTGAAATTCATCAAATGGATGTTAAGACGGCCTTCTTGAATGGAGATTTGGAGAAAGAAATCTACATGGAATAACCTGAAGGGTTTGTGGCTCCAGGTAAAGAAAAGAAGGTATGTAGACTTTTTAAGTCCCTTTACGGACTAAAACAAGCACCCAAACAATGGCATGCGAATTTGACCAAACAATGTTGTCAAATGGTTTTAATATAAATGAAT